GAGCTCCATCCCTTAATAACATCTCTTAAATCAGCCAATGATATGTAATTTATCATGCTGTCATACACTATTGTCTTAAGGGATGGGAGCTGAAGCTCGACGAGAATCCAATGTTTACGTTCCAAAACAGGGATAAACACCTGCAATCATAAGTAATAATTCATTCATTTGCGCACTTATTTCATAAAACCTTTAAACTCAATCTAAAATAAATACTAACCTTATCGACCTCCCACCATGCAGGATAAAGTTTAGCTTGTCCATTGCCCAAATCAAATGATTCATCTCGTGCATTCTTCAAGTGAACGGCGTGAAAAGACGTCGGCATTATTGTATATCGTATATTTTTATTTTTCTTAAGTTTTCTTATTATTAGAAGACGTGTCACCCACGCATCGATATGCTGTTTTACAAAAAAAGACATATATTAGTGACTTACATAAATTTAAAAAAAAATTAATCAAATTGAAATATAAGAAAAATATAAGACTTACCCCCCCATCGAAATAGCCATTGTCTTCGACCCCTAATAATACGCCCCACCAAGGCCGTTCAAGCAACAAAAAGATATCATCGGTGAGCTTGCATATGTCAGTGAAACACCCCTTGCTCCGCTCATGTAGATAAAAATCAACTGCGGTCTTAGCCCAAAGGGTGTTATCCAAAATTGTGTCCGGTAGTTGTTCCCTCTCCTCTTCAGATACCGGTATGGTACTGGCCGGTAACTCATACGAGAGCCAACTTGAATCCATCATGTCCGGCACGACAGAGGGTTTCTCAAGAAGCCTACATATGACGCCATGTGAATCGGGCTCTTGAATGGTGGGAGGGACCTCTTCAATGATGACAGTGGCCTCTTGAACGGTGGGAGGGGACTCTCGAGGAATGATATGGGGGGCCTCTTCAACGATAGGAGTGGACTCTTGAGGGATGACAAGCGAGTCGGGCTTCTTCTTGCGGTGTCTTCGCACTATTGGGGTGTACGGAGACTTAATAGCACGTGCACGCTGTCTGATGCGTGAACTCCGTCGTGCAAGCATAACCCGACGTAAAGCATCCACTCTATCGGGCCGCTAAATAATTAAATACAAAATCAGTAAATAAACAGACATGATATTTAAACAGTGAAAACAAAGACAAATATGTTTCAAACTTGCATTGTATTCACCCAAGTCATTATTCTATCATAGTTCACAAAATGCATCAGATAACAAAGAAAAATATGTTTCAAACTAATACCCTGAAGTTAGTATTTGTTTTGTCTATTGGTTGAAGTAAATTTATCCATTCAAGTTTCAATTTGCAGAAGAAGAAATAGTTTACTTTCGCAACACGAAACTTAAAATCGCAACGCGAAACCAAAATCGCAACGCGAAATGAAAATCGCAACGACAGAATCGCAATGCGAAATGAAAATCGCAACGAAAGAATCGCAACGCGAAATGAAAATCGCAATGCGATTTTGGTTTCGCGTTGCGATCTTGTCGTTGCGATTTTGGTTTCGCGTTGCGATTCTGTCGTTGCGATTTTCATTTCGCGTTGCGATTTTGGTTTCGCGTTGCGATTTTAAGTTTCGTGTTGCGAAAGTAAACTATTTCTTCTTCTGCAAATTGAAACTTGAATGGATAAATTTACTTTCAACCAAAAGACAAAACAAAGACAAATACTATTTCACAGTGTTAAAGAATACACAGTTTAACAGAATTGGCAGCAACCGAACAAATTTACTTTCAACCAAAAGACAAAACAAAGACAAATATATTTCACAGTGTTAAAGAATACACAGTTTAGCAGAATTGGCAGCAACCGAACAAATTTACTTTCAACCAAAAGACAAAACAAAGACAAATATATTTCACAGTGTTAAAGAATACACAGTTTAGCAGAATTGGCAGCAACCGAACAAATTTACTTTCAACCAAAAGACAAAACAAAGACAAATACTATTTCACAGTGTTAAAGAATACACAGTTTAGCAGAATTGGCAGCAACCGAATAAATTTACTAAGCAATCTAAGTGAAATGGCTAATCTAAGTGAAATTACGAGTAAATTTATCATTAAGTTAAATATGGAAAATCTTAAACTTACCTCGTTGCGTAGAGTATGAACCTCATTCTGCAACGATACTATCATCTCACGTAGAGCGGCAACCTCACCACGTAAAGTTGACACCTCCACACGCCATGCACCATCGTTATCGCGTAGAGTACCGATCTCCTCACGCAAGGCATTGACCTCATCACGTAACTCCCTTGACTCATCCCGTTGAGGTGGAGGTGGAGAACAGGGAGATAGGAGTCGTGGCATCTTTGCCGGTCGCCTATCATGAGGTGATGGTGGAGAAGAGGCTCGATGATGTGACGGGATAGGTGATGGCTCTCGTTCTAGAGGTGTATAGTCGTCACGATCGGGTGATGGCTCTAGGTGAGGTGATGGCTCTCGAATTGGAGGAAGTGGATGCTGCTCATCATCCGTGCCATCAAAAAAACTCTGACTAGCTTGCCACCAATCAGTGGCAAGCTCTTCCTCCGTGGGTGACAGTCTTTGTAATGGAATGTTGGCCTCCTAAAATATAAAAACTCAAACAAAGTTAAACGTCTACTATTAATAACTTGTTTATATATTATATGAAAGTATTTGTGTTAACTTACATTATTTATTGTGGCATATGGTATTAAGTCTTCCCAATCCAACAGAGTTTTCCTCTTCTAGGAAATAGCCCTGGGAATATCATTTGACGTTTTTATTGCATATGTACGCATGCTGGGGAAAGCCTCGAATATCCAAATCTACAAACAATATAATAACAAAATTAGTAATTGTTAAATAATTAATTATAATTTTAGAAACATTATATAGAAATTCTTACCTTAAAGGCCCAAACAAAGCCTGACAAAGTGTATTTGGACCCATCGCCCCGCAAACTTTTGCGGTCATCAAAGGCAGACGACAACTTAGTCCAGGTAGCTTTCCATATATACGAACCCCACGGAAACAGATTCCATGCATTCAGGTCCTCTACCAATATTATTAGCTCCCGATGAATAGGTTGTCTGGCCTCTCTGCCTAAAAAGCCGGCATACACAAGTAGTAGAAGGCATACTCGGACAACATCGACGTCTTCCATCCGAGTGAAACCAGCTTTCTTATTAAATAATTTCTTCAGGTCGTCGACATGTAGGTTCGGCTTCTCCATTGACTCATCCGGAAAAACCCGGGATAACCATGATGGGCGGGCGATATGACGAGTGTACCGGCCTACATCATCGTGTCCGAATCGTAGACCAGTGATTAAGCAGAACTCCTTCCGCCCAAAGCAAGTATACGCTGGTGGAAAATGAAACCATATCTCTTCCTCACCACGTTGTATATTGTCGGGTAGATTTGATGTCATGGTCTGAAGCCACAAATGGGTCAAATTAGCATCTCCACCCGGATGCTGTACTCTCAGCCATGGCCCGAAGCAGGTTTCCTCAAACAATTGTCTTTGAGCAGGTGAAAGCTTCTTTGCAATTGTAGTGGCCAGGCTGACTTTATTTCTCAAGGTCAATTGAGCCGAAAAAAATTTCTACAAAAACAATAAACATACCAAGTTAGATATACCAAAAACTACACTGTGAAGATATACCAAAAACAATAAACATAAAAAGTAGTAGTTTATTCTTGAAACTAAAATTTGCAACACTGTTTTGTCTTTTGGTTGAAATGAAAATCGCAACGAGAGAATCGCAACGCGAGATGACAATCGCAACGAGAGAATCGCAACGCGAAATGAAAATCGCAACGAGAGAATCGCAACGCGAAATGAAAATCGCAATGCGATTTTGGTTTCGCGTTGCGATTCTCTCGTTGCGATTTTCATTTCGCGTTGCGATTCTCTCGTTGCGACAGTCATTCTCTCGTTGCGATTTTCATTTATCTCGTTGCGACTCTTCTGCAAATTGAAACTTGAATGGATTGCATTACTTCAACCAAAAGACAGAACAAAGACAAAGACAAATACTAACTTGAAAATCGCAACGAGAGAATAGCAACGCGAAATGAAAATCGCAACGACAGAATCGTAACGCGAAATGAAATCTAAGTGAAATGGTTAATCTATTATTGAAATGACCAGTAAACTTATCATCAGTTTCAATATGAAAAACCTACAATAATGCAAACATTTCAAAATAAAAATAATTAAAAAAACTAACCCTCGGAGGTTGATTTTCCATTTCTGAATATTGTGAGGGATTTCTGACCGTGAATGGTTGTGAGGGATTTCGCCGGAGATGGGGACGGAAATCTTCGGAGATGGGGACGGATTTCTTCGCCGTAGAGAGTGAGAGATGGAGATGGGACTGAGTTGTGATTTTAGGTTTTAGGTTATGAGTTGCGATTACGGGATTTTGTCTTAATATTCTTTTTGTAATTTGAAAATAAAATACGCGTAGCGATTATAATGGCGCTTTAAATATCGCGTTGCGATTTACGGATACGCGTTGCGATTTTATGTATTATCGTTGCGATTTACGGATACGCGTTGCGATATACGGATACGCATTGCGATTTACCCATACGCGTTGCGATTTACGGATACACGTTGCGATTTACGGATACGCGTTGCGATTTATGTGTTCGCGTTGCGATTTTCATATTCGCGTTGCGATTATTGAAAATCGCAATGCGAATTTGTACTATCGCATCGCGATTTTCAAGAATCGCGTTGCGATTTTGGAAACTGATTTGCGATTCTGGGGATCGCGTTGCAATTTTTATTTCGCGTTGCGATTTTGTTGGTCATTTTGGCAAATCCAAAAAAAGTTGGTTAAAATCGTATATTATAACTTTTTTTTGGTCACTGAGGCGATTTTCTCTATTAAGAAAGCAACCATACGATAACCTTATGTGGTTTTATTGCTTTGACATGTATCATGATTCACAAAATTGAAATACGTATGTCAGAATTTATATAAATATATAATAAATAAACATGCGTGTAACACTAACAATCTCTATAAAAATTGCTAACGGTAATATAGAGTACAATGTTATTTAGTTGCATCACATACTTCCAAATTAGAAGTTGATAATAATAGCAATTCTATAATAGTAAAAAAAACACAAGTATAATTAATTGGGGTTTCTCACCCAAAATGGGGGAAAATAATTATTGGGCAAAGAGGATAAATTCTCACCCTCGATTATGCCACGTTGACTTTATTGTTCCATTTGAAGGGGGAAAAATACTCTTTTTAAGTGCCTAAAATTGTGGGCTATTGTTGTATTGTCTTAAGCGTGAAGTTGGGTCTTCAGAAGGCGTACCGATAGATAGCATCAGCTACACCGTCTTCATCATTGCTAACACCAATTACATCGGCCACGGCTTTCGTTTTCTCCGATCCATTGCTGAGAGCAACTCCTAGTGATGCTAACTCGAGCATTTCCATATCATTTTCCCCATCACCAATTGCCATTATCTACAGCCAAATAGAAGGAAAAAGGAAGATTGATTAGCCTATAGGTGCTAATAGTTAATAAACTATTTTAGGAAGATTATTTTGGAATATATCGTATTGTTTTCACCAATTTAAAAGAAAATGAGTGCCACTAAGCACAATTTAACATTTTTCATAGAGTTACTAAGGTCGCTATAAGCAAGCATTATATCTAACGCTTATATAAATGCATATTTTGGTTAGTATCACAGCAGTTCAAACTTCAATCTATGTAGAATGGTAAATCAATAACGTAGCAGCTAGTTCTCCGAGTTATCGAAGCATGCATGCTGGATTTGCCGTGTGGATAATTTCCGTTTATCGAAGCAAATTCGGTGGAAGTAAAGAGAAGATAGACGATAGGATTTATGTACCTCCTTTGAATTGACACCCAAATGATCAAGTAGCAATGTTACTCCGCTTCCCTTTGAAGTCCCAAAGGGAACGATTTCAAGCATGTCGGGTACAGCCTGGACAACATTAGCATGATCTCCTGTAGCTTTTGACCAGTATGGACGTAGATTAGTTGTTATTCCCTCGGCAGTGTCGAAAAAAATCAGCTTCTGCAAAACCATAATATGCGATTAAATGACAAAGGACCATATTCAACAAAAGCTACAAATTCAATGGGGTGGGATTCTGTAATGGAAACTGAGTGAAACCGAATGGCACTTAAACAAAGAATCTTAAACACTTTGTGTTATTCTTGAAAGTAGTTTTATGCAAACTGATATATCGTATACATGTATCTATGTTAGAATCATAGAAGCTATTGGCAAAGACTACTGCTGTTATTTTCATTTAAGATTGAATATAGAATTAAAAAGTTAAATGCATTTCGGAACTCATGGCACTCATGTCAGGTCTTTGAACAAATAACCAGACAACACTCAAAATCAATAAATAAACAAAACAATCACCAAGCTCATTTTTTCCTCTTCTGCTACTGAAAATGTTGAGTCCTTCCAGACAAAAGATAGTCCTATTACTTCCTATATATGCTTTAAGCACTAACGAGAGAATCTTTGACTCTACCTGTATGTCTGTTGCAGCCACCATATGCTCAACTGAAGGCATGATCTCTGCCTGTAAAAATTGTTAAGTGTATCATACACATTATAAAAGTTTTATCAGTCAGCAAACAAAATGTATTCATACAAGGAAAGAGTAAATGAAAGTAAACAGCACCTTTGGTTCATGATATACGGTGTGAAGTGTGTCAACGAGAGGGTGACTAAATAGTGTTAAACAGCGATCCTGGCAAAATGCAATGAGAGGAACCTTATGTTCCAAGGAGTATTGGCCAGCCTGCAAAATTGAATAAAGAATTGTGAAAAAGAAAACAATGGATTTATTTTTAAAGGATCTTACATGACTATTCTTAGTCAGGGGATTAAGCATTTAGTATTTTGGTAAAGATGTCTAACCTCTCTGCAAACGTTTGGATCTAAATTCCTTTTAAAAATTTCTCTACCATTTATACCATAAACAAGCAATCCCTACAACCAAAAAGAAAGAAACCAATTGAGCAACACTATGGTAATAAAATAAACTGCCACAGGCTTTCGAGCAAAAGAATGTGCAGAATCAAATTTTACATTGTGTTTTAGTTGGGTTCACTGAAAATTTGCTGGATAGATTTTAGCCTTGGGTTAAATTTGAAATAGTAGAATTTTACCGCACAAACTTTTTGATGAATTCTCAACGACCCATTCAATTTTTTGTCTGAGATAAAATTTAATGTCAATATACCTAAATTGAAGGAAAATAAGTTCATTGAGAGACATAAAAGGAAAACAATCAAGGAAGCAAGATAAACATCAGAAAAAGCTAAAGGGCCGTGTGAGTCCAATAATATCATATAAGAAGAGGTCTCTTCAACTTTTCAGCTTGGCATCTCTACTCTTGCAAATTGATCTAATAAAAAGTTTCATGTCATTCATGCAGTTGATACAGACACTGTCAGCGTAGACAAATGGGAAGTACCTGTAAGAAGACCCCAGGAGTGTGCTCTGAAATGATGCCGTCTTTGCCAGCTAAATCAACCATCTGCAGAACACTTATTGCAGCAGGACGTGCCTGACAAAGTGACAAGTAACAAGACAGGTACCGGTAATCAATATCTTCGTTAGCAAGCAAGATGTCAGATTGAAGAGAAAGAAATACAAGGTTATGAGTTATCTGGCAACTCATAATATAAGAATGAGACTGTAAGATCAAGGTTAAAAATATAGGACATACACACACACACACATATATATGTTTCAGTTTGCTAGATAAAGACATAATACATCTGTAAACTTCTTGAAGAACATCATGATAACAATGAATTAGAATTAGAACAAAAAGTGCCCACTGTTCTTACTTTTCCTGTCGCTATCACAATTTTTACACCTCTTGATGATGCCTCTTTCAAAGCTCTTGCATTGGTCAATGAAACTTGACTTTTGCTGTTCAGCAGTGTGCCTAGCAATAACATTACAAAAGAATTAGATATGGTACTGGAATTAATAAGAAATAGAATTACAGTATGAATAATCTCACCATCCATGTCACAGAAGATGTACTTGAACTTTGGTCTGTAGAACCGAAGGCTACCTTTTTTCTTCTTGTCTTTTGACAATTTATCTGCAAGATTATCTCACTTGAAATTATATATTAATATGATTTATTGTTTAGTTTCAAAATCATTCAAGAACATGCACAGACAAAAAGAATATAAACCTCACAGGTTAAGAAATAAGACTTTAAAGGGTCAAACTGCTAAGAAAGGGACAAATCAGATAGTACCATTTGGATTTTCAATATTAAGGTTTTCACTAGTTTCAGCATCATATGCACTCTGTATTAGTCCTTTTCCTTTCCATCCAAGACTCTTCAAAACAAATTTCTCCTCCTCCTCCATTTCTTCCTCAGCATCTTCGCTGATTTCATGATCAAAACCCAACAGATGTAGCAATCCATGAACCTTCAAAGTGGATAAACAGTTGGAGTCAGCCTCACAATAAGTTTTCTGGTAGTGATACTAACTTCTTTGGATGCTGAATCGGTAGAAACACTGCCCCAATATGTCCATTGTCCTTTTCTAACAAATTTTCCATTTTGGCATTTCACATAAATCAGATCAATCTCCAAGATTGCTTTCTGAGTGTGTGTTGTGTGTTATCTTCTAAAGAAAAGTTATCATTTCTTGCAATTCCATTCAAACCATAGTTATATAAGGCCATTTTTGTAGTTAAATTATCAAGAAAAGTAATATAAATTTTCTGCCCATTTTTCCTATCAGCTTATGATGACTCTCATGTCCAAAGCAAGAAATGGAGAAAGCTCAAATTATTGAACCAACCATAAGGATGCGAATTTCATCAATAAGTGTGTACCCTCTTTCTTCTGCTTGCCTTGCAGCAGTCTCGATAGATATAACAATGTCACCAAACATAAGCTGCAAAGAAAGTAAGAAAGATGTGTCAACTGGTTTCACACATGAGTTAAAAAAACATTTCAGACAACAGATATACTTACAACAGGAAGGTTAAGTTCAGGAATATGTTCGGACATGGAAAGGACATCAGTAGCATGGTCTTCATCCCTCCACTCCTTATTTAGTTTCTGAATGATCTCATCGTTACAAAGGAGTACAGACAACTCTACGCTTTCAAACTCACCTAAATCTTGTATGGAAGTATCTCTTGTTTTATAATTTGAATCTGTTATACGGTCAAAAACTAACTTCATTGCCATTGGCACATTAAGGCGAAGTAACTCTGCAATGCTCTGCAAAATGTAAGCAGCAATAAAACAAATAGGACAGTTGGAATCGAAATTGTCCATGTAATTTCTTTTCTATAATTCTCTCCAGAAACTAACAGAAAACTCGTTAATACTAGCACTATAAAGAAACGTAAAATAAAAATATAGCACGAAAAACGTATAAACATCAACTTTCAATCTCTCGAGAAACTAACAGAAATTTCGTCAATACTAGCAATTTAAAGAAACCTAAAAATAAAATGAAGAAACGTAAATTACTAGTCTTTTATTGTACTCGAGAATCACACTGAAAATTAGTTAATATTAGCATCATTTGAATTGTAATTATAAAGTATTATACCGAAATTTCAGAATCATCGGGTAACTCTTCTTCAATGCAGATACTAACACTGAGCTCCAACCGCTTCTCTTTACTCTTCGCTGGCCGTCCTCTCATTTTCCGATACTCTTTATTCGAAGCCACGACGATTGGCATTGGCCTTGAAAGCGTCCTCCTTCTATCTTCGCGGCACAGAAAGTGAAACCTCCGTCCGATGAGAGAAGATTTTGGAGAGGAAGGGATAGCGAAACGCGCTGTGCAGCGACTGGGAGATAGATTGAAAGAAGAGCGAGGGATGGAGAAGGTAGTTGGGTAGAGTTCAAGCGAGAGAGTGATGGCGGAGCGTGAAATAGTGGACGCCATGGCGGGGGAGGGAAGAAGGAGGATAGGACGGAGGAGAAAAGAGAAGCGGCTGAGCATATAGATTGTTTGCTTCTCTCGTTAGCTAATAGAGTTTTGAGCATAAACTCAAATGGATTGGGACCAGAAGGGTATATTGCTATATTAGAATGTAATCAAAGTTTGTAGACGTTAATTAAAAATATGGTTTACCCTTAAAAATTCACTAGCATCCCTTAATATATGAATGATTATTTAAAAATAAATATTGTATACACATCTGAAAGTTTTTATTAATATTTTAGCAATTCAATTATTAGATTTATCAGTATTTTATTTTTATATACATCGATTAATAATAATAAATTCAACAATTAAATTATAAATATATTAATCGTAAGAAAATTCATTTAATTTCACACTAATACAAATAAATCTCTTATCTTGAAAAATATTATATAACCATTAATTATTAACTATTGACTACTAGCTCGATGATACTCTAAAAATGGGAAAATTTTACAGTGAACATCACACACTAAAATATATTATTAATGTGACACATTGAAATATATTATTAATGTGACATACTGAAACACATCACTAATTAAATTGTCTATTTTAAGTAAATATGAAAAAAATATAATGATCTATCCATAATTATTTTTTTATTATTATTTAAATTAAATTTTAATAGGAATATAATTAATTTGTATTTTTTATTAAAAATTATAATTATTTTAAATTTTTATTTGTTTAGAATTGAAACAATTAATTTATTTAAGTTTATAAAATAATCCCAACAACAATAATTAAAATTAACTGTCGACCATTCTATTCATTTTTAAAATATGGCGTTCTTCGGCATATAATCGTGACAGCTTTGATATAAGGCATGAATAAATTCTTTTGTTTTCAGCAAAGGTATTTTAAACGGGTTTACAGCAGTATTTGATATAAACATATATATTTTCCCATATTATTGAAATCAAAACATAAACAATATTATTTAGTTTCTGTTTTTTTTTTCTTCCAACGATTGGTATTACAATTAATTGATCCGAACAAAGTTCGGTTAATTTGGTCGACTAACCGAAATTTATAAATAATATATATTATATATTAAATATTTTCGGTTAATTTGATTAGTTAAATCATTTAAAATCGAAGTTTAAACACTTATAAGACTAATATATAGATAAAATATTAATATTTAATAATTTCTATTAATTTGGTTAACTAACTAATTTCGAACCAAATTAACTGACAACCAAAATTTAAAAAATATTAACCTTTAACCGGCTGAATCTAAAATTAATCGACTGATTAACCGAAAAAACTTAAATTTAGTTGATTAAATCAGTTAAAATTGAAATTTGAACACCCCTACTCAAAAACATAATAAGTTCCATAAGATTTGAGTATTCTGGTAATGTTTTGTTAGTGTTTCATTAATGAATACGTAATATATTTTGATTGTTATAGCAATTATATGCTGAATAATACAATTTTCTGACGATGAATAGAGTCGTTGATGATTGATTTTGATAGTAACTGTTAGGATGACTTTGCGAAATTAAACAAATTAAGTATACCAATCTTAAACAAATAATTTTTTTTAAACAATTAGATTTTTTAATAAAAAATATAGTTTAATTATATTCCTATTAAAATTTAAACTAAATAATAATAAATTATTACTTGCGGATAGATCATTATACTTTTTTATATTTATTTAATAAGGACAGTTTTATTAATAGTGTGTATCGGTATGTCACATTAATTGTGTGTTTTGATATATGACGTGCACTCTAAACTCATCCCTATAATTATATATTTATATTTTATATAAAAATATTTTTATATTATTTGTTAGACAAATGATTAAAGATTTAATGAAAAAAATAGAAAGATTTCAATAAAAATGATTTGGATGTGGATTTTTAACAAACTCATGTTTGATAATTGGATGTGTTTCATTTATGAATTACACATAATATTTTATATTAATAGCTTCAAATTTGAAGTTTTGGTTAAACGATAATATTTGTAGAAGTTGATTCAGACACTTAATGTTTAAATCAACTGTTTCTATGTGTATATAAACACTTAAACACATACTCTTTTCATAATAAAAACAAAATTTTTAATATAGTATATTTGTTTATAGAAACTACTAATTTTATTAAAAATAAAAGATATTCAAATTACAATTAATGTTTACAATTACAACTGTAAACTAAAAACATAATAAAAACATTTTATATAATCATTAACACAAGAAAACTAGCCACTTAAGATCACATAAGAATCATATAAGAAAATTGTTAAAATACATAATCCAATAAACTCGAACAATAGGTAGATATAAACATATTGATCGGCAAACAAATCACAAAAGGGAATCAATATATTGAAAGATCATCGACAAATCACAAATCAGAACCGAACGACGTGAAAAAATTATCCACCAACGCAAATCGCATATTCAAATCTAATCCAAGAGTATAAAGTTATGAATATCAACATTATAACAGATAAATGACATCTTAATCAGTCGTGGTAACGTTAAATTCAATCCTGTAAAAAAGGATAAATGAAAACAACAAATAAATAATCGAAAATGTGCCATAAAAACAGGGGGAAAAAATGCCATAAAGGCAACAAAAGACGTGCCATGAACGTAAAGTTAAAAAAAATAAAAAGTTAGAAAAACAATAAATATCGATGGTCGACAATCAACATCAAGATTAATGTCACAATCAACCATAAGAATAAAAATATACTTAGGACGAGTAAGAAAAAAGAAAAAATTAGGACAAATCTTGCAAATAATAATATAATATGATTTTTATATATAATACTTTATAGTTTTTTAATAATAAATCACATATAACTAAGTCAACAACTAATGCATGTAGTTTTATAAAGCTAGATTAATAATATGTATTTTTTTATTAATAATAATTCACATATAATTCGGTTAATAACTATTGCATATGAGTTTTATAGGGTTACTTTTAGAAATACATGTAATAATAAGATTTTGATTATAATATAAACATTAATTCTAATTCTTTAGTCAAAAAATATAATAAGTGGAATTTAAAAGATCTAAATTATTGAGACTCGAACTGACCCAATTTAAATCAATAGAGTATACAGTGGACAAAAAGGGGAAGAAAAATATAATGAAATAAACCCTACCAAACGCAACGCAGCCTTTGCCCGCTGAAACCTACTTGTCCATCTCATCCCGCGTTCTCGATCTTTCGTCTATCTTTCTCTCGCCTTCGTGCACTGTTCTTGAGAATCGAGTTTAAATCTGATGTTATATTCCTTGAAATTCCGTGTTTGACCTTCTTCGTTGAAATTCCCAAGCAGTTTCCCTGCCCTTCAACCATTTAGGGTTCCGATCTGTTTTCCGTTTCGTTCGTGTTTTGTGTTTAAAATCTCATCTGCAAAAAAAAAAAAAAAATATCTTTCATTTTATGTCGGTTTGTGTTGTAATCAAAATTTCGTTGCCTTGTTAAATTTGATTGATTCCCGTTACAGTTGCTCGAGCTTGTGTCAGTTTGAGGTTAAATTGAAGCTCGAGTGTTTTTGGTGTCGTTTATTGGGTTTGTTTATTTCTGAAACCGATGGATACTCGGAGCCCTGATGCATCTTTTCCGCAGCAATCACAACCTCCGAAGAAGCATGGAATCACGAAACCGATATCACTCGCGGGGCCAAGTGAGGCTGATATTCAACGGAATACGGAACTGGAGAAGGTAATGTTATGGTCTTCTTGTTAAGTATTGCATATTTTAGTGACATTTAATTGACGATATATTTTTTTCTTCAGTTTTTGATAGAGTCTGGGCTTTACGAGAGCAAAGAAGAGTCTGCGAAAAGGGAGGAGGTTCTTGGCCATATCACTAAGGTAAATTACCAAATAATGGATGTTTGTTTGTTGTCTTCCATTAGTTGAAGAAAAAAGCGAATAGTTGGTACATTGCGTTTCGGTTGGGACTACCGGTTCATGTTTCATTTATGAATTACCAAGCACCTAGATTTGCATGTTATGGTGATTGTACGGTGACAAATGCATTGCAGATGGCTTTAGCTTGTTCATATGTCAGTTAAAGATGTTTGATCTAATTTATTTTTTTGTAGTTCTGAAAAGTGATTATTTTCCTTGTAGATTGTAAAAAGTTGGGTAAAGCGATTAACACGTCAAAAGGGATACACAGATCAGATGGTGGAGGAAGCAAATGCTGTCATTTTCACTTTTGGATCTTACCGCTTAGGGGTAAGTATAACTCTAATGATCGATCAAAACTGCCATTTCATTAACTTGTTATCTTTCTGACTTTTCTTGGTGTTCATAGAAATACAAAGTTTTTAAGGTTTCTCTGTGAACATGAACTTTGTCTGTTGCTCTACCAATTTCCATTGATGATATTTTTTATGGATTGTTGTGTCTATATCGTGTGTCACAAATTAAATCAATATTTGATGATATTCATGTTCTAAGCAACAATTCACTGTTTTGATAGGTGCATGGACCGGGAGCTGACTTAGACACTTTGTGTGTTGGACCATCTTTTGTGAACCGTGAGGTGTCTTTAATCTGCCTATTTTTCTTTTCTTTTTCCTTCAATTAAGTTGCTAGTCACGTTGTTTCAGTTTTACTAGCATTACTTTGAATTTCATCAGGAAGATTTCTTCATCATTTTGCATGATATTTTGACTGAAATGGATGAAGTCACTGAACTTCAACCAGTTCCAGATGCTCATGTTCCAGTAATGAAATTTAAGTTCCAAGGGATATCAATTGATCTTCTTTATGCAAGTATCTCTCTTTTGGTTGTTCCATATGTAAGTTTGTATTCCATTTGACGATCTTTTGAATTTACACTTGTCTACTTCATCACTGCATCACTTAACACTTGAATGAAGTCCAAGAATGGTTTTCTTTACACATTGCAGGATGTTGCAAGCAATTCCATGATAAAGAAATCTTTCTTAGTTGCTTGATATGTTGCCAACTCGACCTTATATTATAACCTATTTGTTTTATGACAATTAATAAGCAAATTTAAGTATATGGTGTTATGCATATCTGGTACTCTTTTGCTTAAAATACCGCATTATCCTTTGACTAACTGTCAAAGTAGTCTTTACATCTGGCCTTTAGCAACTCATGGATACATCCTAATATATGAGTTCTTTTAGCTGTCCCTTTCTTCCTTCAGTTAGTTTTTTTTCTCTCAATAGTTTCAATAAGCAAAAGTGACTTCTGGCATATTTAGACAATTTTATAAGTTTGGGTTCAGAATGAATTTGACTAGCAGTTGGATGGGCCTTGGAGTATTTTAACTGAATTTTTGGTTGAGAGTTGAATGTTATGTTTGCTGAAGGGACAGACCAATATAGAATATTTTTGATGTTTCATTACAAATTTTTAATGTTAAGTTTTCAGTACATGTTTAGTTGCTCTGAATTTTGACATCTCTGGTATTTTTTTCTGAACTAATCAACAGGACCTTGACATCTCACATGAGTCTGTGCTGCATAATGTTGATGAGCAAACTGTTCGAAGTCTTAATGGGTGTAGGGTTGCTGATCAAATCCTTAAACTCATTCCAAATGTTGAGGTGAGTATTGTGTGTTGACCAACACTTGTTCTGTTACTTTTTGCCATTTTTATACTCTTCTGTTTAATTGTATGATTTTAGCACTTCCGCATGACGCTTAGATGTCTGAAGTTCTGGGCCAAGAGGCGTTGTGTTTATTCCAATGTAAGATTGATATCTATTAATTTCTTTTTCATTGGCTTCTTTGCTTTTGTATCATGTTTCAGTCTTTGTTTTTCACTTTTGTAGGTTACGGGATTTCTGGGAGGTGTAAATTGGGCTCTTCTAGTTGCACGTGTGTGCCAGCTTTATCCCAATGCAATACCTAGTATGCTAGTTTCTCGTTTTTTTAGAGTATATACTCAGTGGAGGTGGCCAAACCCTGTTATGTTGTGCTCAATAGAAGAAGAAGAACTTGGCTTTCCTGTCTGGGATCCTCGGAAGAACCATCGGGACCGGTTTCATCTTATGCCAATAATAACTCCTGCTTACCCTTGCATGAATTCCAGTTACAATGTCTCTACAAGCACTCTTCGTGTTATGATGGAACAGTTCCAGTATGGTAACATAATATGTGAGGTGAGATCATACAAGTCTATTGTGTATTAAGGTCTAGCTGCCTCTACCGAAGCTTAAACTATCGATCACTCATCTTAATAATTTTGTTATCATGCAGGAAATTGAGCTAAGCAAAGCTCAATGGTATGCTTTGTTTGAACCTTATCTTTTCTTTGAGGCATACAAAAACTATCTACAAGTTGACATAGTTTCAGCAGATACTGATGATTTACTGGTATGGAAAGGCTGGGTAGAGTCACGGCTTAGGCAGCTTACCTTGAAGGTAAACGTCAACTATTCTGGTGCAGGAGTACTACTTTTAAGATACTAGTTCTGTATAATGAATATTTTTCTCTTTCTCATGGTTTCAATGTCTCTCTGCAGATAGAGCGGGACACAAATGGAATGTTGCAGTGTCATCCTTACCCAAATGAGTATGTTGATAAGTCAAAGCAGTTTGCACATTGTGCATTCTTCATGGGCTTGCAGAGGAAAGTGGGAGTGAGTGGTCAAGAAGGTCAACAATTTGACATACGTGGGACAGTTGATGAGTTCAGACAGGAGATAAGCATGTACATGTTTTGGAAACCGGGAATGGATATTTATGTTTCTCATGTTCGTAGGAGGCAGCTTCCTGTCTTTGTTTTCCCTGATGGATATAGACGGCCTCGACCATCGAGGCATCCGAACCACCATACTGGAAAAACTTGTGAAGTTGTCCCAAGGTCTAAGTTAGGGTCTGCAGAAAGACAAATTAAGAGAAAACATGATGATGAGACGGTGGATAAAATACTGGACAAACCTGAGAAGCGGGCCTCTATTAGCCCCCAGAGGCTGGAGTCTGTTTCTCTAGAAAGTGGTACAGGTGGAGGAATATCTCATATCAGTAATGGTCAAGCAGTTAAACCAGATCACCGAAGAGGTGCGGATGATGATAGGCTGTTAGACATCAAAGAAAGAAATGTGGAAATTACTATTCAGCAGACTAGAACTGATAGTCAAGGGTCCCTCACCATATGTGGGCAGACTTCTTTAGATGTAGATAATTTTTCGGTAGTTAGAAATGTAGAGTCTGCTGAGTTGTTGGGTGAACCTGTTCTTAGGCAGGAGTCGCTTCCTCCATGTGAAGTTCCTGATTCTGATATAAGGGAGTCACGCAAGCATAGCTTGTATCAAGAGAAAACTGAGGATTTGGCATTAGCTTACACGGATGATGTAGAGACTGGATCCTCTAGGAACATCTTAAACTGGAAAGGAGGTGGTGATGGGGTCGGTCAAGAGGCGGTCAAACCATGTAATCAAACAGTAGTGGAAATTGCTGAAAGTGTATATGGGTCAAGTTCCAATGCGCAGAGCCTCAATTGCGAGGTGAGTTCTTTTGTTTGAGGTATTTGGGTTAAAGACTGTAGCAGATGGATGTGACAATACTGGAAGTTCTGGAGATAGTGAGTCGGGGATCTTTGCAGGGTGGTAGTGTATGCTGTGCAGATTTGGATTCACTTCTGGAAAATGGACATCCAAATGCAAGTGGTGTTTTCCAAAACAGTTTGCCTGAAGAATTACAGGTTTTGAATTCATCTTTTGGACAAAAATAAATAATTTTTTCTCTTCTACCTTGTAGTAGTTGCCTGCTTACTTTACTGTTTTGTTTTCTATTTAGGTAACCTTCTTTGTTCCTTGTCTTTTTCTGTATATTTGGGTCATTGTGATTGCTAGTCCTGTTTTTTTAGGAATCTTGTTCTTGAGAAATTAAGTTTTGACTAAAGAAATGGTCTTTAACTTGATGTTTAACTGTGTGTGAATAAAATCTTTATTTCATATGACTTGAATTATCTTATGTTCATTTAGGAAACCTTTCAGCGATATCATGTAATCATTACAATTGTATACTTGTCTCCACCCCCTTTTTTTCTCATGTTAATTCTTTGCCCACCCGATCTCCTAACTGGTGTATATGTGGTGGCAGGCCCTGTAACACCATCATATGGGCTATGTTTCCAGTGATTGTGCTTAAGACCCTGACTATGTTTTGTAGGCTCAGATACATGACCCTCCCTCTTATTTCTTACGTATCTTTGGACTATTTTTGGGTATCTAACTTGCCTTTTGACCTTGTTTTATTTTATAGCCAAATATCCCTGTTGGGAAGGTTGTAGATTCTCAAGATGGAGCTTGGTCAGAAGCTTTGCAGAAGCCAATGACCAGGCATGTGCATTTGTAACTCGTGTTTTGTTTATGGAAATCACAATCTCTTTATGCCGTTTTCCACATAATCTTTAGCAGGTTGGTTTGAAGTCAATGGCATAATGTATTGTAGATGATACACTCGGAGAATCGGTGTTATCAAAGGAGTAAAGGCCTGGCCTTGGTAAGTGTCTCATTAATTGCTGTGTGGTTTTAGATTGAAGGAGTCATGAGGCTACAAGAGTGCTGGTGCTTTGAAGACTGCTATCTCATTTTTAACCACTCGAGTGTTGTGGCCTTGTTTGCCTCCATTTATAAATCGAGTATTCTTAATCAAGGTTTTGTAAATCATAGAGGCGGTGTAGTGTATCATTTAGAATTTGTTTTGGCAACTTTATTTAATCCTTTGTACATAGATAACCAATAATACAGTTTAAGCTTTCTCTCTAGCTGGTTAACTCATCTCTCACACAATGCTATGTGCAACTGAACTACAAGGAGTGTTTCTTGTTACTTAGAATGTTAAATTTAGCAGACATCGACTCTATGTATTAATTCAAAAAGTGTGAAAATAAATGAGCAAAGCTCACTTTTGCTCTCTGGAATCCTGTCGACTTGGATTCACCGCGGCTATTGGTAAAATTCAGACTATGTTAATCAAGTTGTCATCTTCCTTGGATCCCTTTTTACCGTGCTTGTAACTGGAAAGATAAGGGTTGTCTCTGCCAAGAAGCGGAGACACATCAAAGTCGCTTCCCACTTTTTTGGCTGCATGACCATTAGGAAGACAACAGCTGCGAAGGATATGCGAAACTTCCTTCATCGAAGGCCTGTTAGAAGGTGATGCATCCGTACAAAGGATTCCGACCTTGTATACCAGCATCATCTCCTCCAAGTAGGATGTTTCCTTTACCTCTGGATCTAGTATTTCCACCATGGGTTTATCTTCTGAGAAGTCCTGCCACGCCAATTCCGCCAGGCTCATATTTTCATCTGCGCTATTGGCTTCTTTTCCAGTCACCAATTCGAGAAGTACCACTCCAAAGCTGTAAACATCAACCTTTGCATTGACTTTTGTTGTATATGCATACTCTGCAATCCGAATGACAACTTTGTGTTAAAATAGATGCTCCAGTCTCCAGTCTTTCTGTTTCAAAATATAGATGAGATTAAAAAGGGGACAATGATAATGTTTTGAGCATATTTACCTGGGGCGAGGTATCCAAAAGATCCTGCGACCGCCGATATCGAGTGAGCACTTGCATGCCTAGTTAGCATCTTAGCAAGTCCAAAATCTGCAATTTTTGCATTGAATTCGGAGTCCAACAAGATATTGCTAGACTTCACATCACGATGGATGATTGGTGCCAGGCACTCATGGTGCATGTAGCATAGCCCTTGAGCAGCTCCAACAGCAATTTGTAACCTTCTAGGCCAGTCCAAGACATCATGGTGAACAGAATTAGACCCTGAGACCAGGCTTCTCTTATTCCCGTGAAGCCATCTATCGAGGCTCCGATTCTCCATGTACTCATATACCAGAAGCTTCGAATCGTCGCTAGAAATGCAACATAGTAACTTCACTATGTTGGAATGCCGAATGTTGCTCAGTATTTCGACTTCAGCTAAGAACTCTTTCTCAAGCTTGTGATCCACTTCCTTACTATTCCAAATTTTCTTAACAGCAACGGATTCACCTAACCGGTTTACGGCGACTCGATAAACCTTCCCCGAGCCACCACTTCCGATGAGATTGTTATCTGTCAAATTGGACAAGATGTTCCCCTTTGTGAAACCCAATCTCTGGAACGAGGTCAACTTCCATGTTGCTAGGTATTGTCCATACTTTTTCCTCCTGTAGTCTCGAACTAAGAAGAAGCTCAATAGAAGGATAATTGTGGAAGTAAGGATGGAAAGTGCCACAATCATGGCAATACATTTAGATGACAATTTATCAGGCTTATGGATTTTGAAATTGCAGTCCGGAAGCTTTAGAATTGGATGATCTGCACATAAACCGGAATTTTTCATAAAACTGCCTTCATATGCAAGGTTGTTTAACTGCTTGGGAATCTTTCCAACAAGTTGATTGGATGACAAGTTGAGTGAAGCCAGCCTCTGGTTGCCAATTTCAGAAGGAATCTCACCGGAGAATTGGTTTTCGGATAAATCTAAGTAAAGCAAGTCAGGTAAAGAAGCGATTGCAGCAGGGATTTCTCCGGAGAGCTTGTTGTTGGAGACATCTAACGTAGTTAACGATCTCCATGAGATTATTTCAGATGGCAGTTCACCGGAGAGATCATTGCCGTCGAGAAGCAAAGCAGTGAGGCGAGAAAGGTTCGTTACCTCCTTTGGAATTTTGCCTGAAAATAAATTGTTGCTCGCCTGGAAGACAACCAAATTCGACCAAGATGCAATTCCGGGTGGGATTTCACCAGAGAACTTGTTGTTGCTAATTTCCACCCTCGACATATTCCATGTAACTCTACTCGGTAACTTGCCCGAGAAGGAATTGTTTGTTAACAAGAAGACCGACAAATTGAAAGTCGTCCATAAACGTGGAGGAATCTCACCGGAGAACTTGTTGTTGTGAAGTTGAATTGTGCGTAACGTGGGGCAATTTCCGAGTGACTCCGGTATTCGCCCGGTGAGATTGTTTGTATATGCAATCACTCCTTGTAGCACACCTCCAGCACATAAATGTTCAGGCAGTTGGCCACTGAATTGATTCTCCGACACCTCGAATCCTTCGAGCTTCGAATGAAGACCGAATTCCGGTGACAAGACTCCGCTCAACATGTTCCGGAAAACACGAAAATCGCGCAGGGCAGGAAGTTGAGCAATGCTTGTTGGTAACTCTGCCGTCAACTGATTGTAAGCCAGGTTTAGAAACTCCAAATATTGCAACTTCCCAAAGTCCTCTGGAATGGAGCCTGTCAAATTGTTCATGGAAAGATCGACTTTGGTCAAACTCGAAGCGTCAATGGTTTTCGGTATCTCGCCGGACAGCTTATTGTGGTAGAGGTAAACTTCTGTTAAATTCTTCAATGAAAGCAAGCTTCTAGGAATGGGGCCTTCCAGATTGTTTATAGCCATGTCCAAGTGCTCTAGACCTGAAAGATTGTTGAAACTTTCCGGGATTTCTCCGATCAAATTGGTTTCTGTCATCCATAAGTACCGCAACTTGCTCATCTGACCGAATTCCGGAGGTATTCTCATCGTAACAAACTCGTTATAAGCCATCATCAGAATCGCTAGATTGGACAGGTTACCAATTTCCTTGGGAAATGTCCCATTGAACTGGTTTTGGACAATGTTTAACGTGTTCAACACCGGTAATCTTCCGATACTCGTCGGAATATCACCGGAAAAGTTGTTGCCACTTATATCCAAGTAAACCAGAGTCGACAACCGGTCGATATCATCGGGGATCGGACCGACGAAATAGTTCTGAGAAAGGACTAGGATCTCAAGCTTTGAACAATCGTAAAGCATTGGGAACTCCCCCGGGATGGAATTGTTGTAAAGGTCAAGGTAAGTGAGGTTTGTGAGGTCACATATAATTGGAGGGACACTTGCCGTGATGTTTTTGTCGCCGAGATGAAGTTCGGTAATTGAGTTGGAGGTGCAGTTGATCTCCGGCCAATCGCAAGGCGAGGACGACGTGTTCCAGTGTGAAAGTGACGGCGGATTGCCGAGCTGTTGTTTGAGTCGGAGAAGAACGGTTCTTTCGGTTTTAATGTCCTGTGAAGTGGCTTTGAAGGGTATGGAGGTGAAGAGGAGGAAGAGAAATGGTAAGCATAGTTGAGACATTTGATGTGGAGGTAGGTGCATTATTTTTCCTCGAAATGGGTTGGTTTTGGCATTGGCAGAGCAGAGGTCTTATAAGAGCTTTGGGATCCTGTTGAATGTGTACTGTATACTTTTAGCCCCCACATTCAAGTGGCAACTGGCCAGAGTTTGGTCTTTTGACGGATTAACTGCAATCATTTTCCTCCTATTATTGCCTTTGCTTTTTCTCTCTGACTTTTTTTTAATGTTTTTTAACATTATAAAAATAATAAAAAATAAAAATAATATTTAGTTTAGTTGGGTCTAAACACTAGGTTTGGATGATTCTGTTCTCTCGACCTGTTTCTTTTAACTACCAGTGGGTTTGTTTTTTACTTTCCTCTTCCAAATTCTTCACAGTTGTGACAATTACGCAATTAGTTGGAAATACGTTAGCCTTTCAGGGAAAATGCACTGTGGAATAGTCAATGAGTCAGCCAACATGTGCTGCCCTGCACTGGTATGGTACTGATGTTTGACTTGAGTGAGCCCAGACAAAAAAAATAATTGCTTATTATGTAAATTAGTATTTAAATTTAATATATTTTTAAAATTAATATCTAAATATGTTAATTTTTTTTAAAAGAATATCTTTATTGATGATATTTCAATACTTAATTAAATCATTGATGTTATATTAATCGATTAAGATTACGATATTATTAAATGTTATATATCATAATGTGATTTATTGTTAAAATATTATATATTAACTAAAAAATCTAAATGTTAATCTTAATTTTTTAAATTTCAGATATTAAAATGATAAAAAAAATATAAATATCAATCAAATAATAATTTTGAATATATATATATAATTTAGACATCAATTTATTAATAAATGTAAAATAAAATAAAACAATGCAAAAGTTAGGCTAAATTTTTTATCAATAATTAGATGGTTTAGTAAGTCGAGACATGTGACAAGATTATATTTGGAAATTAATTTTTCTAACAATTATTTATTTTTTATTGGTCCTCCATCTCAGGTAAATATTATCAATTGTGTTATTAATATATGTGTCCTCTCTCAAAAAGTATTTCTGACAATAGATTTTTTACAATTTAAAAATTCTATCTTGATATTATAAACAAATTAAATCAAATTAAAAATATTACTCATATAAATATAATATTTGATCCGCATTAATTAATAAAATATCAATAATTGAAAGAAAAAGAAAACTTTTGTTGTGGATCAGTCAAAGGCTGGAAGCATTGGGTCGACGTGATGTTGATGCGCTAACATAAAGTAAGTTGATTTTTCTTTTTAATTGTTTGACCATGATTTAGCAACTTTGATTCCATTTGAATCTAATCCCATTCACACCATGTGCTTCAAAGCAATTTTCCTCTCTTTATTTAATCTCCAATCTCAAAGCAATACATTCACATTAATGAAGGGCCAAATTCTCTAAGAAAAAATCCATTTGTGGTGGATTTTTTTTATCGATTTAATCTATTTACCATGATTTATTCCCTCCAAAAAATTTATTTAATATTTATACAATTACACACAAATATCAAGATGAATATGTTACGTTATATGCTCAGCGAAATAAGTAACGAAAATTATT